GGGCTAAGGCTCTAAGCTAAAGTCCTAGGGTAAGGCTCTGGGCTAGTGCTAGGGCTAAAGCTACTTCTGGCTAGGGATATAGATAGAGCTAGAACTAGGGCTGCACCACATATGAGTTTCGCAGCCTCTCGTATATGCATGCAATTTTTACCTTGTCCTTTAAAGCTCGAATTGATTTTGCGATTGATTTGCGTTTTCGATCTGAAAATCGGAAAAAGTCGTATTTATATTTATCGGCAATCTTTTAAAAAGCGTTAAAACGATATTGAAAAGTCATGCCATCAAAAGGCATTTTGCGCAAAAAGAGGACGCACTGAAAATGACCTTAAATTGCACTTTTTAAAGGCTAGTCTACGTACAAAAAATCACTAGTTTGGCTTTACCTTGCTCTACCGTACCCTACTTTACACTACTATGCACCAATGCGCCCTACCTTACCCTACCGTACCCTACTTTACACTACCATACCGTAATGCGCCCTACCTTACCCCACCGTAACCTACATTACACTACCCTACCTTAATGTGCCGTACCCTACCCTATCTGACCCTAACTACACTATCCAAAGTCTCGTGCTCCATATATCAAAAATTGTATTTTATGACATTGTCGTTACTTCTGAAGTCATATTTATTGTTGGGTGAACAAAAAATTGATGACATAACCTAAAAACGACAAACCCACAAAGTCAGCGGGTGCTCTATTGTTTGTAAAAAACTGTACATCGTTAGAAACAACAACAAAACTGTAATGTAGAGCTATTGTAATAGTTTCGGTATTATTTGGGTTAAAAAGTTAAAGGCAAATTATGTCACTTCTCTTCAAAAAAATTAAAAATTTTTCGGACTTTAAGTTACTGTATTTTTGTTAAACTCAGTGTCAAATTAGCGTAAGCTAGAGTACGGTAAAGTATGATAAAGTAGAGTACGGTAGAACAAGGCAGTAGAGCAGGGCCGGACACGGTAGAACAGGGCAGAGCACGGTAGAACAAGGCAGGGCAGGGCAGGACAAAGCAAAGCAGAGCAAAGCAGAGCAGAGCCGAGCAGAGAAGAGCAGGGCAGGGCAGGGCAGGGCAGGGCAGGGCAAGGCAGGGCAGGGCAGGGCAGGGCAGGGCAGGGCAGGGCAGGGCAGGGCAGGGCAAAGCAGGGCAAAGCAGAGCAGAGCAGAGCAGGGCAGGGCAGGGCAGGGCAGGGCAGGGCAGGGCAGGGCAGGGCAGGGCAGGGCAGGGCAGGGCAGGGCAGGGCAGGGCAGGGCAGGGCAGGGCAGGGTAGGGCAGGGTAGGGTAGGGCAGGGCAGGGCAGGGCAGGACAGGGCAGGGCAGGGCAGGGCAGGGCAGGGCAGGGCAGGGCAGGGCAGGGCAGGGCAGGGCAGGGCAGGGCAGGGCAGGGCAGGGCAGAGCAGGGCAGAGCAGAGCATAAGCTTTATGTCCTACAGTAAGTCGTTCCTACAGTAAGTCCTCATAAAATAAAGAATACAATACCTTTTTTACAATTACATAACGTTGTCCTTACCCCAGGTAATCAAACCCCATCTCTTACAATCTCATAGTCATAACTCCATACCTCATAATCATACCTCTACCGCTACCTCTCATAATCATCACCTCGATTGACTACAGTCCAAGCACCACCTTTCTTATATATCGACCCCAATTTGCCCTCTGCCATGCCACGCCTTGTACAGAAATCACTTTAGAAAGATCACTGCCCACATTTCTTAAAGATGCACCTAAATATTTATTAAGATCAATGCCTACATTTTTCAACCAAAACTCCCCCCCCCCCCCTCCCCCCGCCACGGTGAATTACCTGTTGTCGGGTGGGTATACGTGCACTTCGTAACGGAATGCCGTATACGACCAAACCCAACGCCACCGGAATTCTCGTTGATCAGGCGACGTTTAAAAGTCGCTGCTTCTGTTTGACATGTGAATAAGATGCGGATTAATAAAAGTTGTTGCCGCTTAATGGCACGGAACAACATGGCTTGAGGATTTAGGTTTGCATAAAGAAACCTTCAATTAAAAATTCTTTTGAAAATTAAAGCCTACTACCCTGCCCTAGCTCTAAGATCGTCTTACAGAAAATATGATATAGCCCAACTTTTTGCTAATCCAGTCTAGTCTAGCCTACCCTACCTTGTCTTGCTTTGTTCTGTCTTGCTTTGCCCTGTCCTGCCTTGCCCTGGAATGTCTTCCCTTTCCTTGTCTTGCCTTGCATCTTCTTGCCTTGTCTTGGCTTGGTTTCCTTTCCTTGCTCTGCTTTGCTCTGCCCTATATTACCCGTGGTTACCCTACCCTATTGTATTATAAAGATCCTAGCTTTAACCCTATCCTAGTACCACATAAAGCTTCTGTACCATAGCCATATGTCAATTGCTATCCATAAGCCCCCCCCCCAAGACCACGTGCTACTACTACTGTACCTCTAGGCCTAACTCTAGCGGTTTCCTTCAGATTTTTTTACCAAAGCTGACTTTTAAATCCGTTTACAAATTTAAAATACTATTCTACCCTGTCTTTAACGTCTAGTCCAGCTTAGCATAATCTATCCTACTTTACTCGACGTATACCAGGTTTTCTCAAATCACTGTTCAATCTGGCCTAACTACGGCTTAGGCGAGGGCTTAGTACGGTACTTTATAACAAAGACAACCAACAATTTTAAACCCATATGCCATTTTATATCCAACCTTTAGAAATCATTATATTTTAAGTTTTTTTTTCAATTTTTTTTTAAACTTTTTGCAGTTTCAACCTTTGTTTACCCTATGTGTGGTTTCCCGTGCGCAAACGTGTATTTTCAGTGCAAGGTTAGGTCGTTTAAGGTTCGTTACGCCATCTCGGCGCGGGCGTATCAGACGATCTTCTTCACGAGATTTATAAAGATTCGCGACAAAAAATCAATGTTTGATCGTTGAAAACGGTTTCAACGCCGTTGCGGTAAACATAATAACGAAAAGATGTTTTGAGAATTTGCCGTTTTACGTGATTTTTAAAAAACGTGGGGCAAGGCAAAGATAGGGCTTGACTAAGGCTCAAATTAAGGTAGAGCTTATAGTAAAGCTTCAGAAATGGCTTAGGCTAGGGCTTAAACTAGGGCTTAGGCTAGGGCTTAGACTAAGGCTTAGACTACGGCTTAAGCTAGGGCTTAGGCTAAGGTTTAGGCTAGGGCTTAGACTAGGGCGTAGACTAATTAAGAGCTAAGGTAAGGCTATTAGAGGGCAAGAGTAAAGCCACGAAGAACAAAAAAAAGACAGAATAGATCTCGGGCATGGCTAACAATAAGGTGAAAAATAGAAGAAAACAAAAATATCGACCCGTAAATCCAAAAATAATGTCATTTCTACCGGTTTGTATAATATAAAACAACGATTTCGTTATAATTAGATTACCGAATCGCAAAAAACCACTTTTTTTTCTTATTTCTCACAGTAATATAAAGTTTTGTCGCGCAATAATTAATTATTAGAAAAAATACTGCCATATGAGCCATTTTTTTTGGCAATGGTTTAGGCTAGGCTTGAGCTAGAGTTTAGGCTACGATTAACTTTAGTATAAAGCCAAAACTTAGACTTTCAGCAAAGATACATAACTTTAAATGTTAATTTTCGGCCAAAAACAAAAATATCTCAAAATGCGCCATTCTTTTTGCATCAAAAAATTTTTTAAAACAAAAATGAATTGAAAATTTAAAAATGATTGCCCAGACCAATAAAAAAAAATGAAAGTACAATTTTTTCCCTTTAATAGTAGTCAAATTCAGTTGCGCAACAATGGAAACCAGTGAAGAGAAATTTGTGATCCGATTCGACTGGATTTATTCGAATAAAAAATGAGATTAAATGGGCGTTTGCTTTCAAATGCAAATATTTAGTCTGTGGGTACCATAAAAAATGTATTTTTGAAAAAATGTCAAGTATAAAATTCTGAATTTTCAAAGAAAAACAATTTTTTGCCAGAACTCAACAAGGAGTACCCTTGGTTCAAAACAACACAAAAACAAAGTAGACTAATTGTAAGACAAAGTAGGCTAAGATATGGTTAATCAGTATAGGGTAGAGTAATGAAGAGTAGAGTATAATAAAAGAGGGTATGATAGAACAGAGTAAAGTAGGATAATGTTAGGGAGCGCAGAGTAGGATACGGCAGAGTAGGGTAAGGTTGGGTAAAGAAGGGTATGGTAAAGTAAAATGGAGTAGGATAAGGTAAAGTTGAGTGATATAGGAAACGGCAGAGTAGGGCAAGGATGGGTAAAGAAGGGTATGGTAAAATAGAATAGAGTAGGATAAAGTAGAATTCAGTGAGATAGAATAGGACAGAGTAGCGTACGGTAAAGTAAGGTAAAACAAATTAAGGTAGGGTATGGTAAAATAGAATAGGGTAGGATAAGGTAGAGTTGAGTGAGATAGAATAGGACAGAGAAGAGTAAGGTAAAGTAAGGTGGAACAAGGCAAAGCAAGGTAAAACAAAGCAAAGTAGGGTATGATAAAGCAGAAAAGCTAACTTACAGTAGAGTTATCAAAGTAAAATACGTCTTTCTTACCGTTTTTTTTTTTCATTTTCAAACATTTTTTTAAAATTTATTACTTAACAACTAAAAAATGATAACAAACCTAATTGTTCATTAATCAAACTTACAAAAACCTATTTTTAAACAATAATAATATTTTCCAGTATATATTGCACCCAGAAACATTGTTTCAAGCCTAATTCCTCATAGCCAACGTTATTCTAAGACCAGTGATTTGCTTTTCTTTTATTAAATAGTCATTATCAATTACAGCTTTTTGACTTCCTTTTGTAATATTAAGTGCCGACATAAAGAACCCGCCATACTTTGCCTGTAATTTCATGTAAAAAGTGGCGGGTTTTTTATGTCGACACCTAATAGAACTCTTATCAAAAAGTGCCTGGATAGTGTGACACCTTAGTTATAATAACAGATTTAAACCAGCCCTTTGAGTACCATACTATTATAAAAAGTGTTGACTATATTTTCCTACTCCTCCTTTTTAGGCTTGAAATATCGTTCCGGGTCCTCAATAACACTGCCCAAATCCTTTAGCGAAACATTTTGAGAGCCGCGTTTCGCTGGTTTAGGCATGTCCGGTCCTGGGCGCCAGCCAATGAAGCTTAGGACTTGAAACGTGCACGGTAGAGCGTCCTGTTCTTTCGCGAACATCGACCGGTAAATCGCGTCGGCGGCGATTAAAACGTCTTTTCGCAGCGGAGAACGGCGGACGCTGGCGTTGGATTCGGCCATTAATTGGAGGTCGTATAAGATGGAAAAGAGGTTGGGGTAACCTATCTAAAAGATTTTTGGGTTTGGGGGTGTTTTTAGGTATGAATTTTACATTTTTTAAAAATTGGATACATTTAGGTATTAAAAGTTTTAGCATAGTACTCTAGTGTACTATACAGTACGTGGGTTACTCTATCCTACTATACCCTACCCTACACTACTCTACCTTACTTTACTGTAATATACCCTGCCCTGTTCTTTTCTAGCTCACCATACCCTCATTTTTCACTGCCATGCCCTGCATTTACCGTACCCTATTCTAATACACTGTACTCTACTCTATCCTACCCAAACCTACTCTGCCCTACCCAAAAAAAACTGTTTTTTCAATCCAAATAACCTCCACCCACCTCAATATCATCCAGATCCAGTGTGATCATTCCGAACCCGGCCCTTCCCATCAGTCCGCCAATATCTTGCGGTTGAACAAATGGACTGATATGAGCTCCAATACCTCCTAACCGTTCCATTTCGGCCAACTGAAGCGCTACCCTGACCTCATGTAGCGTGTCACCAGCCAACAGACATCCAATCATGGCTCCATCCGGCTTCAGCACATCGTGACAACGCTTGAACCAGCCGGGCAAGTCATTAATCCAGTGGGCTGATAAGGATGATAACATTAGATCAGCGAATTCGTGTTCAAATGGCACTAGCTCTTCGTCTGCTACTAGTCGCTCTACTTCGAACTGAAAAAGAAATGGAAATTTAAAAAAAAATCAATATAATGTAGACGAAATGCAAATTATTTAAGATGGCTTTAGTTTCTGAGGTAAACAGTAGGGATAAGGGTAAGTAATGATAAGATATGACAAAACCAACACACAACAACCCCCAAAACGCCCAAAATCGTTCTTACATCTTCATTCCCTCTGCTTTTCTTAACCATTTCCTCACTCAAATCACACTGTATCATTTTGCCAATGTTCTCCTTGATCAAATGTGGTGCAATATAGCCAGCACCACATCCCAGGTCAATACAAACTTCATTAAACTTTGTCAAATCAAATACTCGATCCGCAATTCGTTCACCACACTCTCTTCGAAGATATTGAGCCGCTTCAAAGTCTTTGGATTTGGCCGCCCAATTTCGCTGGCGGCGCTTTACTTCTCGGTCGAACACCTGGAAATAAGGGTAGTTTAGTTAACATTCTTCACTAAATTTTATTTTTTCCCCTTATTTACTCATTTTAAAATTGAAAAAAATATTTTTTAATTTATGTTTTTGACCTAAAAACTCGAATTTAAAAAAAAATTAAAAACCGCAAGAACTTTCTTTACACCAAAATTTTATTAAATCTTGTTTTTCTCCATATCTACTCACTCTAAAATAACCAACAATATTTTTTTTAATATTTTTTTGATCTAAAAATTCAGGTTTCCGAAAAAATTTTAATACCGCAAAAACTTTCTTTACACTAAAATTTCGATCTTTAAAAGACCCAACACCAACCAAAAAGATCAAAAATAACATAAAATGTCAAAACATAATAATTTCCAAAATAACCATCAATATAGTGAAATAAAGTAATATTACCTTAACATTGCTCGGCACCGTTGAAGCGGATGAATAACAAGAGGTAGAGAGTCTGGTGTAGGTATATGGCTTTATATTTAGCTTACACGTTCTTATTAACATCTAAAAATGTTAATTTTAATACCAAAAAGTTAGAAATTGACGTTAAATCATTAAAATGAAGCGGGTATCTACTATAATACCTAAAAGGCCTCTGAACTTTAATTTTTACTTTATAAGATCAAACCCTGCCAAAATATATTCATAGTTATGACATTCTGCATCATATAAAATAAATCCTAGTGTTATTCAACGCTTATCCTTCGCAAGATCTTCAAAAAACATCAAAAAGACCTACTACAATATCGAAAAAACTTATACTTCTCCAAGTTCTAAGCCAAAAATTTCAAAATTAATGTTCATAAATATAAATCATGATATTCCAGATCATTTTACAATCAATTCACTCACCGATATGTTTTCGTTTATTCGATATAACAATAATAAATTAACATAATAATAAATAACTAAACTCAACTACTTTAATAAGCTAAAACAAGCTGGAATTGACTCGTATTTTAGAAGCACATTAACAAAAAAGTTGCATATTGACCTTGACTAACTGTACTGATAACAAAAACTTTGAAAATTCCAAAAAGAAATGTCATTTTTAACAAAAAATGTCAGAAATTTCAAAAATTCCAAAATTTTGACTTTTTTCGTCCAAAAATTGCCATTTTAAATAGAATTTTTAAATTTTCAAAAATAAAGTGTCAGATATGCCTTTTAGTGACTCTTTTTCGGATATTTGGACTCCTTTCGATGCGTGAATATGAGTGATATGATCAGTGTTATCAATCCCATTACCAATATGAATGAGCCCCATGGTTGCGGTGGGTACACGTTGAAGACCACTTCCACGGATATTAGGTATATTGCACTGAAATTGGGGTTTTCATTATAATGACAACACCGTAACATTATGTTTAAATTGATTCACTTTGTCATAACATTTGAATTAGAATGCCATAAAAAGTTTTGTCGCTTTTTCCTGCGCAACGCCATTTGTAAAAACAAAAAAACTTTTAAAATGCTATTATATTTTAAAAAAGAACTTACAATGTAGCCCAAACCAGTAATTGTCGGTTGAAGCCTTGAAAGGTTGGTCTGAAAATATGAGATTTGGTTTGGTACAGTAAACTAAAGAAAGGTAAAATACGATTTCAGATGTTAATACTTACATTATAAAAAAAGACAAATCAGGCAAAGAAAAGTAGGGTAAGGTAGAATAGGGTAGGATAGGGTAGGAGAGGGTAGGATAGGGTAGAGTAGGGTAGAGTGCGGCATTATAACGTAGGGCAAAAGAAGATAGGGTAGAGTAAAGTAAAATAGATTAGGATAAGGTAGAGTAGAATGAATTTAGGTAGATTAAAGAAAGGTAGAGATAGGGGTAATTAAAGACAATTAAAAAAAATTTAAAATCCAAAAATTTAAAAAAAATCCAGTTTCAAAATCCTCATATTATCCTTCAAAACTCACATAATTGGTTCGAAATTGTACGACGTAAACACCAAATAAACTAAAGAATGATAAAACCATGAGTAGAATTGAAAATGAATCGATCTGGCAAAGGTCAGGCCAACCAAATTAGCCGAGAACAGTGAGAACAGCACTTCTAAAATCAAGTTTCGTTAATATTTAGGTAACAAATATTGCTTTTATATAAAAAACAATTTTTTAAACAACTTTTCATTCTGAAAAAAATTTTAAAATCAAAAAAAAATTTTTTTAATTCACTTGGGCCCCCTGTTGACAAATTTTTCAAAATTGAAAAAACAATTTTTTTTCAAAAAAACTATTCCAAAATACATAACACTACTTCAAAACCCCATTACACTCCCATAATATCCCCTAAACCTACCATGCGGAGTTAAAACGACCAACTTCCCAGTGTTAACATAGTCCAATATCATGTTGAACAGCCCTCCTCTGTCTCTAAACCAAACTCCAAACATAAATATCAGTAGCACCAATACGTGTAGGCCTAACAATATTAGATGGAATTTCTGTGCCAAAAAGATGTCTTCTGGTATGAATTGCCAATTGACCGACCATCGGAATTGAAAAACGCGGCCCAGCTCAAAGGCGCGGCCGAGGTATGATAATGGGTGGGTTAGAAGGAATTGGGCTCCTAGTCCTATCTGAAAATGAATTTTTTACATTTCAAAACTTGTTTTCAAACATTTTTTATACATTCATGTTAAAAAGGCATGTTATACGAGCAAACATGTTTCATCGTATAGCTTTTCGTATTTTACCAAAAAAGCTACACTAACAGGACAATAATCCTACCTGCCCCCCCCCCTCCAGAATCATCTCAAAAACTTTTATATAAATTCCTTGTACCACCAATAGTACCCACAAAAAATTATAGCTCGCGCTTTTGAGTTTTAAAATTTAAATATTCAAAATTCCCGCCAATTTGGCAAATTTGGCATTGTGTTTCAAGACGACTTTCCAGACAAGCTACGTTTACAAATTTAAAAATGTAATCCCATTTAAAAGTTTTCTACTAGTATATCAAATAAAAAATCCTAAAAGTCAAAAAGGGCAAAGTTATAAGCTTGAAACACAATGCCAATTTAGCGGGAAATTCAAAACGTAATTGATCTCGATTTTTTCGAGATTTCCTGGAAAGCGCGATTTGGTACATTGCTGAAAATCTTATATTTACTTGATCTTTCTATATAAAAAGTTTGAAGGCAATCAGAGCGGGGCTAATCGGGTACTTTCCTTGTTATAATATTTCAAAAATTCAAATTCAAGTTTAATTAAAAAAAACTAAATACGTACCTGTACCGCTGCACAAATGCCCAAATTGAAGACTGTGTGTTTGATCCCCAGTTGTAGTAACAAAATGAAGAAAACGGCCGGCGCAAACAGTAATATGTTCATTTTTACTGTTACTCCAACGCTGAAAATGCTAAAATTAGACAAAGTAAAGAAGATATAGCTACTTTCCACCCTTGGCATAAAAAATTATAAACCAAAACCTCAAATTTATTTGACTAAGGTTAGACAACATCGTAGTTTACCTATAAAACAAGCACCCCGATCCAAATCTTCTGTAGATGAACAAGTTTGCGGCCGCGTACAAGAAGAACATAGCAATTGGGTCGTTGAATAACCGCAACATGTATATTGAATGCAGTCGATGTGAAATTATTACCATAAATACTAATACAGCTGGTCCTATCTAAAAAAAATGTTAGACATGTTTCATCGTATAAAATGTCCCCAAAAATTTTTAAATGACTTTGGCCTTTCATACCTCATTTTTGTACCTTTCAACACTAAAAACCATACTTTCTAACCCACAAAAAATTAAAAACGGACCTTCTTCGACTGATAAAACAGATTGACAATCAATAACTGATTGATCGCATAGATAATGGCAAAGATTTGTTGAGCTCTAGCTACATTCTGACCATCGTTCGTTAGGTAATTGAGCAATGTGTAGATGTACAAATGTCCAGCTGGATAGACCAATGGTCCCGTATTACCGCGAATATGATAGTAGTCCAGTTCACCCGATTTGTAGATGCGAACTTGCTCCATGTAGGCGGTCCAGTCAATGTTTGTGTCTGAAAAATAATTTTTTACCTTGTTTTAGATAGTTGAGGTATGGAAATGTCAAAAAGATAAAATTGGCGGTTGAGAATGGCAAGAAACAACCATTTTAGGTAACAAAACACCTCTTTCTTTCAAAAAACCAACGATTTTAAGTAACAAAACTTAATTTTTTCTAAAAACAAGCTCAAATTATATTTAAAAACACCCAACTTTATACCAAAAAACCCCGAAAAAACTTACAACTAACATAGTTCAACATATAAAACACAATTCCAGTATCCAGCACGGTAATCAGTAGTACAGCTAATGCAAAAAATTGTTTGTCAAAGGCGATACAAGCCGAGAGGAAGCCCTTCATGTACAATATCCACTTGTTTTTGCCTTGAATCTTGGCCTTCTGGACGTATTCATTGGTGGTGGATAATATAGGCTTCGACGCCGTCGACTCCGTTCGCCGCCGCGGAGGGGGCATCTGAAAATGTTGTATATACTATGCTCTGAGCTGTAGATCTGAGGTAGAGCTCTGAGCTAAGAATCTAAGCTAGAGCTCTGGGCTGAAGCTCTGAGCTAGGGTTAAAGATCTAGGCGAGGGCTCTGAGCAGGGCATTTAGCTGGGAATCATATCAAAAACATTTTAGGTATCAATCTGCCATAACAGAGCTATTACCAATCAAAAAACACTTCCAGTTTAATAATATTACTTTTTATTCACAATCTACTACAACATTAAAACATGTTCAAAAAATCTGAGCCATTCTCACAGCAAAGTTTCAAGGTCAGATAGCTCAGAAGTTTTTGACCACGCGAACATACTCAACAACTAGCTTTCAAACCAAAAATACGCCAAGAAAATCGAGAATCTATCGTCTGTATCTGTAGCGCTTGAAATAGAACCATAACTGGAAGACACCATTCTGAAACTGGCACTTGTAGCCATGTTTGTGATTGACTTCCCATTCGCGATTCACCACTTTAAAGGCAATATCTTCGTATGGTGGGCCTGCTTTGAAGCGAATCACAGCAAAATCCTCATCTTCACATTCGGTTAGGGTAAAGGATGGGGTTTGAGTTGGATCCAGGAGGTCTGGGTAGAAGATCTGAATAAAATGAACTTTACTTTTAAAAAGTAGTAAATATTAACGAAAATTCGCTTTATAAAACCACAAAAATCAATTTTTTTTTAGCCAGAAAAAGCGTTTTACACCCTAAAAAATCAATTTCCAATCAACTGTTCTGCCATTTTAATAACATACCCTTCAAAGTAGAACCCTAGAGCTGGTGCTAAATGAAGGGGGCACAGTTTAGGTCCAAAAAAGATTTAATTTGTGAAAAGTGCAAAAAGAAGAATCGGGCCAAGCAAGTTTCAAAAAAAAACCAGGCCGGACTAACAGACTAACACGTAAGGCCGAGAGCCGGGGCATAACCAAAGCCCACCCCGTGAGACGTGCCAAAAAGTTAGACCCGGCTAGCTGTAAAAAAGCCGAGGTTTCTTTACAAGTCGAATTCAATCACTACCCCCTTCCTACCCCCAATCTCCTCCCAAACTTACATTGAACCTGTATCCCTGAACAATCTTTGGCGGAGGATTGTCTACATCGTAGTGAGTTTGGTTGTACTTGTTCCATTCAAAGCCGGTATGAACTCGGTTGAAATATTTCGGTTTTTGTGGTCGATATTTGTCTGACCAAAGCAGTTTTTGATGTCCAATGTCTTCTTCCACGGCAAACGAGCTTTCTTCCTTGTTGTTCATGCCTTGTTTGGCGATGGCCATCATTTTCTCGTCGGCTTCCGAATTGGCTAGCGTTGCTGGCTTTCCTAGACGCTTATCGTGCTCGGTCTTTCGCTTCTGAAAGCAAATATTGAGTGTGTGACAAGATCTGATAGTGGTAGATCTACCCCCTCCCTAGCTAAAACCCTGCCCACGCCTATCTCTCTAAGCTGAATCCACCTCCTAGCTACCTCCAGCCCTCACTTACCTCTCTCAGCTGTTCAGCATCCTCTTTTTCGTTCACAATGCCAATCCCAGGCATAGCCAAGCTTTCTTTGCCATAGGTGGGTGAATATCGACCTGACTCGTACATTCTCAATGTGAATCTCAGCAATTGTCTGTCATTCAACTGCTCGTACTTTAACTCTCGTTGCTCGTCGTCTAAAGCCTGTACTTCTTCCACTGTGAAGGGTAGCGGTCTTTTAATGTCATAGGCTTCTAGGGCTTCTAGATCTTCTTCCTGGAAGAAAAATTAGTTAGACAATTGCGATAGACATTTTTTGTGTTGTAAAGTATGTCATTGTCATCTTTAAATTTTTAACGAAAGTTTTTGCGATTTTTTGTTTTGTAAAGAAAGTTTTTGCCATTTTTCATTTTGTGAAAAAAGTTCTTGCCATTTTTTATTCTGTTAAGAAAGTTCTTGCCATTTTTTGCTTTGTAAAGAACGTTTTGCAATTAAAAAAATTAAAGACCCCCATATAAAAAAAATAGTAAATACAAATTACCCTACCCTAAAAATTTTAAAAAAAAGTACAAAGTAACCCAGTTGCGGTATAACCCGCGGGCCTACATGTCCTTATCCGATCCCTTTCAAATATTTTATTGGCACGTCCTAGTCCAAGACCGAGCCTAATAATCCCTTTGTCAGGTCTACTAGTATTACCTCAATCGAATAGAAAGCAAAAATCATTATCATTTTAACCTCAAAACATCCTTAAAACCCCAAGAACATACCCTCAAATCCTCCAGCTCTTCATCATCCTCACTCTTTTCCACTTCCTTTCCTTCTACCTCTTCTTTCTCATCCACAACCTCCGCTTTATGTTCTCCTTTTTCCATTTCCAGCTTCTCCAATCGCTGAACTTCTCTTTGTTGTTCAGCTCGAATTTGTTCCAATTTCATCTTCAAGAACCGTTGATGAAGTTCTTTCAGCCTTTGTCGTGCCATCTGAGGCCTTAAACTGTCGAGTAAACTCTCCCAGAACGATACATCAGTACCCCTTCCGGCGTTCTTGATCTTCTTCGTGATATCACCTTCAAGATTTTGGAGCTCGGCGAAAGATTTTCCCTAAGGTGAGAGGTTTTTAATGTGTATATAAAGCTATTCTTGAACTTTTCAGTTCAGATTTTAGTGGGTTTATAGCTTATGGCTTAGACTTTAAATTTATTTTTTTAAACAAAAAATTTCTTTAAAAAAATGGCGATAACTTTCTTTACAAAACAAAAAAAACAGACAAGAACTTTCTTTACAGCGCAAAAAATGACGAAAACTTTCTTTCCAAGATAAAAAGTAGCAAGAATTTTCTTTACAAAAAAAATGACAAGAACTTTCTTTATTTTCTGCAGGAGTTAACCTAATATTTTACTATGCTGCTGCAAAGTCAAAGCACTCGCGTACTGCAGAAGAGAAGAGAGAGAGATGCTATGCAAATTTAGCCCACGTTTCAAAGCATTTTCAAACCATCTTTCCCCATAAATTTCCAAATTTTTTCATTCACCATTTCGAACGAACCGAGAGATGGCCGATACCACCGCGAAAGACCGAGTTATTGGACCAATTGCCCGTGATGGCAACCGAGTGGAACTTCCCGAAACCGACGAGAAGATTCAAGTCTTCAACGGCATCCCCAACTATCCAGCTGGATACAAGTTTGGCGACAAATTTGTGGTAAGTTCTTTGAAGATTTCTTTGATATTGATGTGGGATATGAGGTTTTATTAATGAATTTCAGTGACAAATGGTAAAATCAACAGGTTTTTTCTAAAATTTGTTAAAGTTTCACTGAAGTCTTGCGATTTTTGTACATTTCTTTCTGTATTTCTCTTGGATTTTTGTCCAAAAATTGCTCTGAACCTAATTCTATCTATCCTACTTCACAAAACTTAAAATTTCCGTCGAAAAACTTCAATATATCCTCCAAAGCCCTATTAATCTTATCACATTTCAGATCGAAGAAAGAACTGGCTGGGACGACCGTTTTGGTGCCACTTATTTCGCGACGCCTCAGAAATCGGATCGTCCTCTAGAGCTGGTTCTCCGCGTAGACAACCTGCTCAAGCACAACCCATCCATCTTGATGGTTGAGATTGCAATGCTGAGAAAGGCGGATGAGCACCACAAGCATCAGTTCTTCGCCCAACTCCACGAGCAAGGCCGCTACGAGACCGACTACTTTTGGTACACTACCTACTTCAAAGGTGGTCCATCTTTGCGGCAGATCACGGATTTTATGCGCCAGAATCGAGGAAGGCGTTTCAGCGCTTCAACCGTTGGCAGATTCGCTCAGAATCTTTATGAAATGAGTTTTTTAAAAGTTTTGTGGGCCTCTAAGGGCTTTCTTAATATATAAAGGATAAAAAACAGTAAAAAATTGAATTTTAGGCCGTTTTTCAAACCTTAAATGGGCTCAAAACCTTTAAAATTTGATTGTTTTAGATCATCGGCTTCATGCACTCTTGCAACTTCCTGATCTGCGCCATAGATCAAGAGATGTTCCACCTGGACGCCGCTTCTCGGACCTTGTTCCTCTCCGACCTATCTACCATTCATCCCAGGCCAAAAACCCCTTCCAATCTCAGATGGTGCGGCGGACTCAACTACACCCCACTGGCTTGGTCAGCCCAGATTCAGAACAAAATACTGGTGGAAAGTCTGACTAATGTTGAGCTTGAGGCCGTCTTCTACTTGCTCTTGGAAATGGCCTTGGGTGGATTGCCATGGGCAGCTGATCACTCGGATGTAGTGGCTCAAAAGAAGATCAAACTGTTTGAGGGGGACCGGTCGGCTTTTAAGGCACTTCCTCAGACGTAGGTTTTGGTTTTCTATTTTCTACTTGAATATAGTTGCCTACTACAATATAATTTTAAAACTTTTTTTTCGATTTTGTTGAACTAACTTGGCTTAGCATCCTGTGTATAATACCCAATGCCTTTTTTAACATCACACCACGCCTTGTTTAACATTACAATACATATTTAAAAGCCAAATTTCGTTTTCAGCTACTTCAAGCTCTGGGAGAACATTGTGGACATCGTCACTTCGGACCGCCCCTACTCTGACCTCTCGGTCACCCTTGACCTATGTCAAGAGATATACAAGAAGGACGGTGGCTGCTCTTCATGGGACGACGACTTTGACTTTGAACGTCAACCCACTCCAGAAGAATTGCCCAAGTTTGTGATGGAGAAAGTGGCTAATGATCCAGAAGCCCAGGAAATTGATCAAGGGGAAAATGGCGAGAAAGATGAAGGTAAGAAGAATAAAGAGAAGAGTCAAAACAAGAAGGATGAAGGAAAAGATGAAGGTGCCTTGACTAAAGAAGCCGGTAAATTAAGCAAGAAGAAGAATGAGAAGCCGACCAAAGAAGCCGCAAAGCCAGAGAAGAAAGAGGTTGAAGATCCGAGTTCATCAAAGAAAAATACTGAAAATTCTGATAAGCCTGAAACTTCAAAAGTGGTCTCCCACGTCATCTTGCCCAAGGCCGAACCACCCAAAGCCGATCAGCGCGCCACCAAGAAGAAGACGGGCAAAAAGGCCGGAAAACGTTGATATTATCCTTGTTTAGAGTAAACTTCATATGATTTGTTGGTCGTTTTGCTTTGATTTGTTATTGTTTTATTATTTTGTTATTGTTTGACAATTTTATACTTTTTACTAAAGTTTTTGCCATTAATATTTTGAATATTACCTAAAACTGAAAAAAAACAACAAACCCTTACCTTGAACGTCTTGATAACATCTTGTTGTACGGCAGAGTGAACGGCTTCATTCTTCCTCAATTCCCTTTGCTTCTTCAGCTCTGATGTTGCTATTGTCGTAACATCGTCCCAGAACTCCTTTTGCTTCTTTTCTGTATCCAGCAAACGGTAAACTTTGACATCAGCTATCAAATCTTCATATTGCTCTTCTGTTAGTCCTTTCACATATTCATTCGGATCCCTGAGCTCGACATCTTCTAGCTCTTCAAAGGGCTTTGGTTTCTTATCGTTGCCAAAGGATATGTACCTAAAATTATGAAGTTAGAATTATATAAAAAGCGGAAAATAGTACCTAAAATTCAAAATAAAATAACTTACACAGCCAGATGGTCAATGGGCATCGCTCGATTCCCCTTGATTCTGATCTGAGACCTCAATGGAGCCTGCTGCAAATGAAACTTTCGTTCAATTTCACTAAAATCTGAATTCTTCTTTCGTTCTTCTTCTCTCGCCAAAAATTCAATATCATCTCGGGCTGCTTGGCGTGTCAGTCGACTTTGTTTTAGCTGTTCCATCTCTTCTACACTCTTCTTGATCTGATTCCTATGCATTTTCTCAATTTCTTTCTTACTCAAATTCTTCTTTCCTTCAGCTGCCAATTTCTTGCCCCATACAAACGGTTGAGAGAAGTTGGGGTCATTGAAAGGATTGTCTAGGTCGGTATAAAGTACAGCTGGTGAAAAAGAACTTGATGAACATGGTTCTTCCTAAAATATTAAATTTTACATTCTTTGCTTTTATAGTAACGCTTTTCCTAAACTGTTCAAGAAGAATCAAACGACTTTAGAGTAAAACCAAAATATAGTAAAAACAAAACAACTTAAGTAAATCCAACAAAAATTTCTATATCTCAAAAATATAATAAGCAAAAGCTATGAAATTTAACTATGAACATGATAAAAAAAAATTAAAAAAACTTTATACTAATTTTCAACTCAAACAAAATAAATTGCTTGAAGCTACAGACTAAACCATCTGACCCACTATATTCAACAAGTGAAAGTAAAATCAAATAACTAACTCGTTACCCCGTTATTGTTACTAAAAACCATCAAAAAAGCTAGAAACTATCCCAATATACCATCTTTAGCTCATGATAATCCTCTATCATCGTTTTGGCTTCGGTTATACCTAAAAACAAAACAAGAAAAGAAGAAACATACCTTTATTTTCTTTTTATCATATGAGCGGCTCATGGCGGTCAATTTCTATAGTAACTAGACGTCAAAAATTTGCCAAAACTTTAACAATAGCTACTCAAAAAAAACAGGAACTTATTGTAAAAGGTATTCTTGTCCTTGTCGAGAAATATTTCGCAAAAGCTTTTTATTTTTACTGCAGTTTGCGCCCAAAAGACTGTGAGTCAAAGAGACACTTTATACGCCAAATGAATTCAATAACAACATAATTTATTTTCTAACAAAAATATACAACTATTGACCTCAATCTCACTCAAGAAGATTGTTAGTGTTTGAAAACACAATTGCTACAATTATTATTTTGATCTTGGGCTTTTTTGGTCGATTTCTGACTAGCTTTCTTCGTGCTTTCATTTTCCGTGGCTTTAACCTCCTTCCCTTGATCTTCGTTGACCTCATTTTCTATAAGTCGGCCGCTTTTTGAAGTCAAAGTGTTAGCTTTGCTCAATTCAGTGCTTGTCGTATTGTCAGTGAAAACGCAACTGGAGCAGGTCGTAACACTAGTACTTTTGGCACAAGTACTACATGTATCATCATCTGTGTTGCCTTCAGTCGTCTTTTGTTCATCTTTCATGCTCTTAGAGTCCTTGGCCACCTTCTCCATGACAAGCTCGGGTAATTCTTTTGAAGTCCGATCACGTTCAAAGTCAAACTTGTCGTTCCACGAAGCACATGCACCGTCGTTCTTGTATATCTGCTGGCATAGATTGAGGATTATTGAGAGGTCAGAGTAGGGGCGGTTGCGGCCGACCATGGTCACGATTTGCTTCCAAAGCTTGAAGTAGCTGAAGAGAAGAGACCTTGGCTTTAAAATAATGAAACTTAATTTTAGAAAACTGTTTTTGCTATTTTTAGAAAGATTTTAAGATTTACAACCCATTTTTTCTTTTTAAGCTTCAAAATTTATATTATAGTAAGCAGCAATCTTCAAAAGATTCATGTTTTAGTAGCCAATCACTAATCAAAAGATAGAAAACCAAAACTTACGTCTTAGGAAGTCCTCCCAAAAATTTCTTACCATCCCTAAACAAGTTCCTCTTCTTTTCAGCCACATCATCCAAACTATCGGACGCCCAAGGCAGTCCACCCAAGGCCAAGTCCAATATTAAGTAGAAAACGGACTCCAACTCCATAGTTGTCAGCCTATCCAAGTTAACATAGTTCTGAGCGTGCCATGACCACACCATGGGGCTGTAGTGCAGTCCACGATGCCAGACGAGGTTATTCACGCCCGTTGGCTTGGGCTGGATGGAAGACATGTCAGAGAGGAAAAGGGTGCGGAAGCGGGCGTCGAACTCGAACATGTTTTGATCCATGGCACAGATTAAGAAGCCGTTTTGGTGGATGAAGCCGGCTATCTGAAAAATGAATTTTTTAGTTAAAAATTTTTAAATTAAGCCTAAAATACGAAGTTTCACAAAATTTTTCATTTTTCGACCGTGTTAACTTAAAAAAGTCACAAAATCCCCAAAACTCCAAGCCAAATCCCACCTCAAATAAATTCTGAGCCAATCGTCCCACAGTTGACGTACTCAATCTGTCTTCACCTTTCCGTCGCATAACTTCCGTGATCTGACGCAGAGTTGGACCACTTTTGCAATAGGTAGTGTACCAAAAGTGTTCGTTTTCGTAAGGGCCGTGCTCGTGGAGCTCGATGAAGAAATGATGTTTCTGGTGCTCGTGGGCTTTACTCAACAACTTATATTTGTATTTTGTGGCTGATCGATGGTTCTCTTTGATGTTGTTCACATGAAAAAGAAGTTTTTGGTCCGAAGATAGAAGCGTCGCCAGGTAGGTGACTCCAAAGTGTCCGTTACCGTCGATTTTTTCGCCAATCTAAAAGATAGTGAGTTTGATGATGTGTTGTATGTTATTTTAACGTTTTTTTTTGAAAAAAAATATTAAAAAATTTATCCTACAAACTAAAATTATAAAAAAATTTCAAAAATTTCAAAAATTTAAGAAAAACTGACTGTTTCTGACATTCTCGACTTAAACTCAACAATCTAACCTCATACCCTACCTCAATATCAAAAGAATCCTAAAAGAACTTACCACAAACTTGTCACCAAACTTGTACCCAGCCGGATAGTTGGGGATGGCGTTGAAGACTTGAATCTCTTCGTCGTTTTCAGGAATTTCCACTTGATTGCCATTTGAGGCGGTTTGCCCAGTAAATCGGTCTTTCACGGAGGTATTGGACATCAAAAGGTTAGTTGTTAACTAAAACTAAAATTTTTATAACATGAACAATACATACCTCTTGGGATATAAATTTTTCGACGTACGTATATTTTGACAAATAAAATTTGTAAAATAAGACCGAAATTTGAATAATCCAAAAATAAAAGAATTTGCCTTCAGCTGCGCCCAAACTTTTGAAAACTGCGCAATTTCGATGGTCGCAATTTTATACGAATTCTACAAACTTTTGAACCGGTAATTGAATTAAGGTTCTGGTTGAGATTCTAGTAAAAACACTACTTTGTTTCTTGTTACGAAGGTTTTTGACATTTCTTTGTAAATAAATTTTTTGCTTTTTTTTCATAGATGTAATGAAAGTTCTTGCTATTTCTTGCTTTGCTAAAGTAAGAAATTCATTGCCATTTTTCTTTTTGTAAAACACTTTATTGTCAGTTTTGTTTTTTTAAGTAATTTCTTGCCGTTTAAAACGTTTTAAAGAAACTTCTATACTTTGTAAAGAAAGTTATTGCCATTCTTCAAAATATGTTGTTGTCATTTTTTTGCTTTGCCACGCCTCTTGTACGTTCAACTACACATTATTTATATAATATCGTACAGTAAACATCATGCGTTATAATTGACAACATACTATTATGTCATAACAATGATAATAACAACGCAGTAACTTTGAATTACCATAGTAATTAAAGCGAAAAATTGCATGTTACTGATGTCTGAACGAATCATGAATAATACTTGAGATAGAAATAGGCATTAAATATGCTAGAGATGTCATAAATTCTTCTTGTGTATGGGTTATAAGGGATGCATCATGGATGATATGCTGTTGTAAATGTTGATGTGTCCGGTCTTTTGTCTACGTACTTCTAGACTGAAACGACGTAGTTTTTGAGCTTTTGCGGTCCACTTTTTCCTGTCTAGGTGTACTATGTTTTGCTAAAACTAGGCCTAACTCCCAGAGCCCTAGCTCAGAGCCCTAGCCCAGAGTCCTAGCCCAGAGCCCTAGACCAGAGCCCCAGCCTAGAGCCCTAGTCTAGAGCCCTAGCCCAGAGCCCTAGCCCAGAGCCCTAGCCCTATTTCTAGATCTTCCTCTAGTCTAGTTCTAGCTTTAGCGATAGCCACAGCTGTAGGATTAGCCCTAGAGCTGGTACGTATATCTTAAGGCCTAGCCTAAGCATAATTTCTAGCGTATTATGTTATAGCATAAGGCGTAGCTATAGTCGAAGTCCTAGCATAAAACTAGTTTGAGCTTAAGCTCCAGACCTAGCTCAGAACCTTACTCCAGAGCCCGAGCCTAGCCTTAACACAAAAGTTAGCTCTAGCACTAGCTAAAGCCCTAGCCTTTGCTTTAGTTCTCGTCTGAGGCTTAGCTTCTTTACTGCACAGTAACTCGACATGAATTTTTAATTTTTTTTTGTTACTAAAGTACGTAGTTTTGAGTTCAATACAATTTTAACTGTAAAGTTAAATTCCAGAGAAATGCCATTTTATGACATTTTATACTAAACTCGTGTAAAAATGAAATCGTAGCAGTCGATTCGCATGGTTTTTTGCTCTTTTTCACGTTTTTATTAACGTCAATTGACCAAAACCAGCTGTAAAATAACATTTTTAGTTTCAAATGTTATTTCAGTTGTAAAAGTGGTATGAATGTATTATGTAGTCATTTATGTTACAGCCACCATTTTTTGCAAGTTTTACAACTTTTGAATAAACAATAAAGCTTGTTTTGAATTTTAGACGCCTAGAATTCATCAAACAGAGAAAGGGCAAGCTGGCTCTGAGCTAATGCTAAGTCTAAAGGGTTACTGCTAAAAATAATTCAACGTAAAGGACAAGGTATCTGGGCTAGGACACTAAACCAGGGCTTTGGATTATAGTTCTAGGTAAAGTTAGAGTTTGGACTAATTCAACATAGAGGACTGGGGATCTAGGCTAGGGCTCTGGGCTAAGGTTCTGGGCTAGGGCTCTGGGCTAGGGCTGCGGGCTAGGGCTCTGGGCTAGGGCTGTGGGCTAGGGCTGTGGGCTAGGGCTGTGGGCTAGGGCTGTGGGATAGGGCTGTGGGCTAGGGCTGTGGGCTAGGGCTAGGGCTCAGGGCTAAGGTTCTGGGCTAGGGCTCTGAGCTAGAGCTGTAGATTAGAGTTCTGGGATAAGGCTCTAGGCTAAGGCTATGAGCTAGTGCTAGAGTTAAAGCTATAATAAGGTAAATAAATGAAAAATCTCACGTTTTGGTTTCTCAAAACCGGTCGATTTTAATTTTTTTAAATGTTTTTGTATTTGTTTGTTTGTATCATGAGTAAGCAGAGCTTATGTTAGTCTGATTAAGCCGTAAACGTTAATGCACAACTGGTTCGTTACAAAACGAAGTTGAAAATATTTCAACAATATGTTAAAGTTGTGCTATTGATCCTTAGTACTATTTGCTTTTGTAGTACTATTTACTTTTCTTCAGTACTACTGACTTTGTTTTGTATTGTATAACATTTTAGTACCATTTACTTCTCGTCAGTACTTTTTGCTTTTTTTAGTACAACTTACTTTTGTCTTGTAAAGTTTAGCTTTTTGGTACTAGTTACACTGTTGTAATACTGTATAGTATATACTTTTTTAATATTATTTATTTATTCAGCACGACGACTACCCACTTTTGCTTAGTATGTACTACTCAATTTTCTTTCAAGTACTATCTTCATTGTACTGTATTGAATTCAAGTGCTATCTATACTTGCACTATCTTGAATGCAAGTACTAGCTATACTGCTCTATCTTACACTATCCATATTGTACTATTCTGAATAGCATTGCTCATCTCTGGATGTAAACAATTTATTATAAGACGATGCAAATTGCGTTATTTATCGCGAATGTCTAATTAATTGCTTACAAAAACAAAGGTCATTGTACTAATCCGACCAAAAACAATTTATTTATATTCAGCATGAACAAGATTTGTGGTGTATTACTGAAGAAGAGAGAGTGGCGGGTAGTTATAGTTATTATTATTTTTTGTAAAAGTATAGTCAAGCGGGGGGGGAGAGGGGGAGGGGGGGGACAGAGGTAAAAAAGCTAAGGCTGAACTTGGTTTGAGCTAAGACTAGCTCTAAGGCTAGAGCTAAAGCCAGAGGTAAGGCTAAAGGTAAGGCTTAGGCTTAGGCTTAGGCTTAGGCTTAGGCTTAGGCTTAGGCTTAGGCTTAGGCTTAGGCATAGGCTAAGGCTTAAGCTAGGGCTTAAGTTAGGGCTTAGGCTAGGGCTTAGGCTAGGGCTTAGGCTAGAGCTTAGGCTAATGCTTAGGCTTAGGCTAAGGCTAAGGCTTAGGCTAGGGCTTAGGCTAGGGCTTAGGCTAGGGCTTAGGCTAGGGCTTAGGCTAGGGCTTAGGCTAGGGCTTAGGCTAGGGCTTAGGCTAGAGCTTAAGCTAGGGCTTAGGCTAGGGCTTAGGCTAGGGCTTAGGCTAGGGCTTAGGCTAGGGCTTAGGCTAGGGCTTAAGCTAGAGCTTAGGCTAGGGCTTAGGCTTACGTTAAAAGTAAAGATAAGCATATGGATATGCCTGTTACTATAACTATGTTTCAGTTTATGGCTAAGACAAAGGTTAAATTTACGGCTACGGCAATGGCTAAGGCTATGGTATAGCTTAGACTAAAGTTAACGTTTAGGCTCAGGTTAACGCTGAAGCTTTAGCTTGTATTAAGGATAGAGCATAAGCTATGGCTAGGGCAAAAACCAGTTATCTTTTATGTGTTTTTACTTTGCTGCGAAAAGAATGGCGTTATTTTTATTTTTACTTTTTTACTAGTTTTAATGGTAACAAAATTTTAACCTATGAAAAGCAAAAACATGCCAAAATTTTCAAACTAGCATCAAAACAAGTCTACGGTAGTGGCAAAACAACATTTTTACACCTGACTAAAACAAAAACTAACCTACCGTAATATTACTCATTCCCCCACACATCGAATATTAATATTTCGGGAATACATTTGCATTCCTGTTTTGAAACCGGCGACATGAAGGCGTCACTTAATCAAATTTTGTGAATTTCAAATCGACCGTCCACTAAATATACAATTTTTTTTTAGTTTTGGCACAGCTGAAATTGTTAGCGGGTGTTTTTTAATATCTACATTCTAGGTTATATTGAGGTTTCGTAGGGTAAGATATTTTTACAATAAGTTACTACGTTATGGTTTGTATATTCAAGTGTGTCGTTGTTTGGAAGTTTGTAGGGCTGTCACAACGGCAGGGACAACAGGGAGTTGGGGAGGGGGGGGAGATAAGTTGGGGGGGGGGGGGGAGAGAGATAAGGTAAGAAGGAGGAACGAAAAAAAAACTTTTGTTATTAAAATTTTTAAAAGAAAAAGGCGAAGGGGGGGGGGAGTATTTTTAGATTTGTCACTGGTTGGAGCAGAAGCTGGACGAGGCTTACACATTGTTTCAAAGCTTAGCTTGAAACATAGTTTGCGCCTTAGCTTTATCCTTAGCTTTATCTCAAGCTTTAGCCAGACGTTTAACCTTAATCTAGGCCTTTCTTTTAGCTATAGCTCTAGCCTTGGTCTTATTCGTAGCTTAGGCTCATTATTAGAAATATGCCACCTTCTGCCTTAGCTTCAGCATCGAGTGAGCCTGAGCTTCAGCTTTAACTGCAGCGTTTGGCGTATCTTTAGTCTAAGCTCTAGCTTAAGTTTTAGTCTTAATATAAACCAAAGCTTAAATTTTAGGCTTATGTTTTAAATTTAGATTTAACGCTTTGTGCTTTACAAACTTATTAATGTTTTTATTTTTTATTATATAATAGTACATTTAGGTATTAGAACGTTGCTTATAATACAACCGTGCACAATTATTGATTTATATTCTGCACAAATGTTGCTAATTTTTCTAAAAATACTATATCCTTTCCTAAAATGTCATTGTATTATGCACATCTAACGATTATTTAGTGGAATGTATATTAATCTCTGACAAGTTTGGTAATCCGTTTGCGTTTCTCAAAAAAAAGATTTTTA